GGTGTATTCGGCACCATACTGATCCATGAAAGTTTGAGGTTTGATCACCCTTAAATTTCTTTGGGCCTGTGTTAACAGGTAGCTTCTACAGTTGATTATAAAGATTGTATTCTTTGGAATAATACCATCCTACTTTTGTCCAGGTGTTGGTTTTCGTGTTATGGGATGAGTTATTTTGTTGAGCAATCAGGATTTTGGTGTCATTCAGGGAGGGTGAATGTAACATGGAAGAAAAAAAATTCATTCCACCAAAATTCCTTCATCTTATATTTTTATTAATGTATTCAATTTTGGTTTTACTTTGAAATTATTACTTTAAGGAACGATAATCTGTATAATAGGGGAAAGTTTAATTTTACTTTGGCGGGTATAACCTGTGACATCACTTCCTCCTTCCTCACAATGTTCGTTACTGCAATGGAGGAAGGTGGCTTGATGTCGGCTGGATGTTTTTATTTGCTGCTGAACAGTTTTGTTTCACTCTTTTCAGAATAAACATGCCATTTATTGGCTGACTTGGAGTGGTTGAACGAGAGATTATTACACAACGCAGAGGCCGGTTACATTTGGATTGTTAAAAGAAATTACGCCTCTATTCTCACCATGCTGATCTCACATGTCATTTAAAGTTGTGGGACATTTTCGGGTGGCAAGGGAAGAAGGATAGGGTCCACCTTCTTGGAACGGCTTTCAAATTATACATGTTCAATGACTTAATTAGTTAAACAGACTCAACATCATTTTGTTGTTAAGAGCCACTCTTGCCCCCATACATATTTAAATATACCTCCCATTTAGCTCAAATTTTACTTTTTTTCAACCTTCTCTTTCTACTTTGGAGCATTTTAAAATCTTGTAGTATTAAAATATGTATATTAGGACCTCCTCATACTAGTTGGCTCTTTGGGTATAGGATTTCCTTTTGGGTAGATTCTACATAGTATTCATAGTATTTTATATAAATATCTAAATATATAGATATATATAATAAATGTAGTTGCGTAAAATATAAATACACCAACATTTAGATCTAGAGAGAGGGAGATTCTTACCTTTTCAGCTGTATCTTGCCGAGTGTGACTGAGTTTTGATCCGGTCAAGTCCTCACCATGTGTGAGGATAAATTCATCTGCTGTGAAGTCTCAACTGCCCATTTTTAACACACTATGCTACATTTCAGACTTATGTGCCATTTCTTGGAAAAAAAGGACAGGATCTGAAGCATTCATTCTAGATAACAAGCAATAAGAAACACTTTATAAGGAAGAAAACAGTTTGTGAATAGTAAAATGTAAAATTTTCTCCGTTTAACTCATTCCCTGGGTGTGTTTTTATTGATTTTATTTTGGTTGTGGTGTTGTTTTGACTTAATATTTCCAGTTATTTTTCAGGTAAGGTTTATGAGAAATTTGTTATTTACAAATGCATTTGTTATTAATTGCCTGTATTACATTTTAATAATTGTAAATTTATAAAATTATACGTTTTTTTTTAGCTATACAGAGAAATTTGCTGTTTAAACTGTAGTTCTCTGTGCTTGTTGGACACTGAGCTGGTTTGGAACACAGATGAGTCAACATGTTGTAAAATGACATTTTCTTCACTGGGTACGTCTGCTCAGCAACAAATTGTAGACTGGTTCATCAGAGCAGAACAGAGGGAGTGGGCACATTGTTTGAGGAACATTGTGGTACAATCCAGTGCATCCATGGGTTCCTTTAATCATGGAACATGCTTAGTTACAATAGGAAACTGATTTTAAAGTTGAAGTGAACTGAAACACAAGCAGAAGCAATCACCAAAAATATTTTGTTGGTAACAATAATTTCTGCTTTGTCTGATTTGTCTCTTTTTATGTTTTTTTTTTTATTTTTTTTTTTTATTAGAGCTCTTTTATAACTTTCTTTTTTAATGCCCAAAAATAAAATACTTCAGTCTTGTATTAAAGAAAACATTTATGTAGATTTTCTTTGTGTATAAAAAATGTCATGTCTTTAGGTATTTGGTTTTTTTTTTCTTCTATAAAAAACAATCTCACTCTTATTGACAACTAGACAATGTCGTTAATATTTTTAACCGATCACAGTTTCCAGTAAATTTAGTTACTAATATAATTTTCCTGTATTATAATAATCATTGAACTTTATTGATCTTACTTTGGAATAATTTACTTCTGCATTTAACCCATCCCCTTGCCAAGCAGCGGCCATTGTGCGGCGTCCAGGTAGCAGTCTGGGGAATAAGGGTCTTACTCAGAGACCAAGAGTGGCAGTCTGTGGGAGTGGGGCTGGAACTCAGAACCTCAGGATACCAAGCTCTATGCCCTAACCACTAGGCCTCAGACACCCTTGGTTTCAAAAAAACAAGGTTGTGCAAAATACTAATTCCTGTGTGGATCATGTAACTAAATTAGACGGAAAAGAAAACATAGAATCCTGATAAATCACTCTTTTTTACAGTAGAATGCCATAGCTATTGATGCAAGAACTATTATGGTTTGGTTATTTTGATTATTATTGAGAATACTAAAGAAAATGGCCAAGTGTCTGCATTTTATTAAACTCTTAAAAGCTATATCATTTTATATATATTTTAAAAACGAATATACCTTTAGTTGTACGGACTATTAAAACCCACAAGAAATAGTAGAAAACAAGGGCATTTTAACAATTTCGTCCATGAGTCTGAATATACTAGTCTGAATTTCATCATCATGGGACCAATTTCTAGACCTCAATTTCTAGTACTTGCATTATTATGATGGTGTATACAGGTCTTAGTTGATAATCAGTCGCCCAGCTTCAGCCTACCCAAAATACTGCTGCCAGAGTCCGAAAAAACACCAGAAGAAATCTTCTTATATCAGTTGTTTAACTGCTGCAGCTCCCTGTTTGTATTAAAATATCTAAAATCTCTGTCAATACGGAACTGAAAGATCTTAGGCCTAAACAGGTTTCTGAGTTGCTGGTCAGGTATTCATGCCACGTAGTTCCCTGAGCTGATCTGAGGCGTGTTTTGTCAGCATTCCCAGGACATGAACTAAACAAGAGGTATACTGCATTTAGTTTCTATGTGCCTTGGATCTTGTTTAGCTTGAGAGCCTGAGATGTGCAGATACTGTTAGTCTCTTAGGACTAAAAAAAGTATGTTTACCAACAAATCTTTTTATTTTACTTTCTTAATTGTCATTACTTTTATATATATTTATTTAAGTGATAAAGTCCCTTTACTAGTTTGTGATTTCCCCCCCCCTGTAAAGTGGGTTGGATTATCATGAGTATAATGTGCTACACAAATAAACTTACCTTGTCATACTGAAACTTTTTTTATATTTTTTTTATTTATTGTGTCCTTTTTTGCCAATATAGGTCTGGGAATCGATGTCCCAGAACTAGATGATATCCCAACAGATTTGTTTTCACAAGTAGACCATTATGGCTGTTGCTATAAGGTTCCGCTTGTATATGAAACTTTATTGAAAATTATTTAGGCAGTAAAATCCTATACAATGGACATAGAGATGAAAAGGGATATGAGGAAGAAAGAATAGATAAAAACTAGCAGGAGAGAGAAATAGAGACTAGAAAGAATGCATAAAAAGAGTGAAAATAAAACAAAGCAGCAAAAATAGATAACACAGAAGATAATAAGTAACTCTGAAAAGTCTGCTTCCACACCTGTATGAGATGAGAGGAACAGTAAATAGAGAATATAACAACAGCAAAAAGTAGACAACAGTCAACCTAAATGAACATCCAAAAAGCTTCAAGAATAGCAGGTAGCCCTTAGAAATTCATGTGGTGGAAAGCAAAACCTGTGGTGATTACACAATATTATTCTGACTGGTACATATCTCTATCTCTATCTTTAGTATTAGCGTGTATCTGTGAACTCCTAGAACCAAACTCCTGTGGAAATCACTGCAAAAAAATTAAATCTAAGCCTTTTGTTTTAATATAAGTACATTTTTCTTGAATTGAGCAGGTAGGTGGCACACTTTGCCAATGGAATAAGAATATGAAACAAACAACTGCAGTCTCTTATTCCGGTGCATAATATCTAATTATCTTATTTTAAGGGTAAACATGTTAATATCACTGGCATGTTTTCCTACTCAAATTGAGGGTAAATACGTTTTTAATTAAAAAAAAATAATGCAGTATGTATACATGGGCCTGCTCTTGTGTAAAGGATTTAAAAAAATCTTCTTCTGAAGAAAAAATTAAGCAGGTGTGGGTGACCCCAGACTCGCCCTACAGAGCCCAGGATTGATGAAGAGGCGATTCTGGTCACAGATATCTAAAGGCACCCCATATCACATCCATACATAGGTATGGCCACACCCACCAGAGGAGGGCAGATGAGAGCACCCAGAGCCCAGTCACCGAGGGGCCAAACCCAAAAGGGGCCCAGTCCCTGCAGGGCATGACCCCATAGCCCACAGTGCCGAGGTCCCACTGGGCTGCAGCGAGCCAATGGGTTCGGGGCTCGCCGGGGTGTAACGTGAAATATTTTAAAAAGCCCTCCCTGTTTTCCTTAACCTTGTAAAACACTGTCAAAAGGGGTTTCTATGTAGTTTCAGTATTAAGGTTGCGAACAATTGTGCCACCTGAGATTTTATTAAAAACATATGTTACATTTACATTAGATTTTGTATCTGTTAATACATGTATTAAGGTTTTTGTACTTTGATGTGTTATTGTTCCTGTGTAAAAAATGTAACTTTATTTCAAACCTATATATTTTTCTGCATCTATATTTTAACCTATATGTATAATTTTCCCTTTTTTGTAATGTTCCTAAATATATTTATATATGACAGCAGCGTCTACATTAAAAGTAAATGAACACTTCACATGGTGACCAGTTTGAGGGGGATTTAACCATGAGCAGACTTCATTAGCTGAAGGAAATGGACAATCCTTCTCTCTGTTAATGATTTATCCAACAGAAGGAGGTTTGGACGGCAGCAGCATCGCCTTTTGAATTCACTCAGCATCCTGGATATTTCAGATAAAGTGGTTGAGGTCTGGGAAAAGCTGAAGACGGACTGACTGACTCAAGGTTTATCAATGGTAAAGGAGTTCAGATGGTAAGTTTTCTCCTTAAAATTGATGCTTATGTTTTTGTGTCTAGGGATTATTTAAAAAGTAGGCAAAGAAAATGTTTGCTCTTCATATTTTCTCAGTTTTATATATATTCAGTGATTGATAGTAAGGATTATAACACAGATAGATCCAGAGTATATGGTGAATTAGTTATTTTTGCTCATTGAGAAAGAATAAACATGTTTTGTGTTTTATCTATAGCTTAACATTAAAAATAGGATATTATTAAAAATACAAACAACTAACTTCGAATCAACATTTGTTTACACAGCTCATAAAAAGCACATCTACCTTTCTATACTTAAAAAAAAAAGAAAGAAAAGAAAGTGGGAGTGACTTCATTATCAGAGCTCTGCTCCAGCATTTTTCCAGCAGTATTAACTTCTTTTGGAGGAGCGGCCATGAATTTTCTCCATGATGACTGCAGTCCACTGGCCACAGCTTTTAGATCAGAGGTTTTTGCAGGAAGGAGGTTGTTATGGTGTGACTCAGTCCTTAGATGATGGCTGAAAACGGAAACGTTTAGTTTTAAAACATTTTAGTTAAGGACAAACAGAAACTTGTGTCATTGTTGAGGGAATGCCTAATCAACTCATGAGATACAATTGTTGGCCATGTTATGCGGCAGAGAGTCAAAATGGCTTCTGGTAGTGTTCTCTGTTGTATAAAGAGAACTGATCCAAGCATCTTGGAAATATTATGGAGTAAAAATATATGTCAATTCAAAATGAATTCTATAAATTATCAAGTATTTACTTGTAACATAATTACATACCATTTAACTGTAAAGGAAAAGTCAATTTTCACTTTTTTCTTGCCTCTCTTGCAGGTAAAGTTTTTCAAAGTTGCAAACATGAAAAACCTAAATCAGTGCGCTGAGGGGACTGAAGAAAGAAGAGCAAAATAATAGCTTGATCCTGGCAAGTCAATGAGAACAACCCTACCCCACTGAAGATGAGGCTTTTTCTTTATTACCTGATAGTGATGGGGTCCAGTTATGTGATTTCAACATATGGACCCCACCAGAGAGCGCAAATGACTGGAGACATTTTACTTGGAGGACTTTTCCCCATACACTTTGGTGTCGCATCCAAAGACCAAGACCTGGCAGCTCGACCACAATCTACACAATGTGTTAGGTAAGATTTCAGCCGTTTATAACTAAAACACAGACCGAGTAATAAAATATAAGACTCAAAAAACTTAGTCTTAAAAAACTGTGCTTTATACATAAGCATATATCTTACATATAAATCTAAAAAAGTTAACAAATACAAAAATTAACCTTTGCATTACGTTAACATTATTATTACATTAACATTACATTACATAAATATTACTATTACATTAATTAATGTATTGTAAATGCATGAATTACAACTTCACAGAGAACAGCATTTTAAAGAATAGTCTTAATGGTGTTCAATAGTATTCAAACCTCTGTCTGTTTTTACAAAATAATCCATGGTCTGTCATCTCCTCCACTTAGTTAGTTTGTAAAGATCAGGAACACACTGACCGTAACACAAGGGTCAGCCAGAGAAGAATGTGTTGTTCCTCTGCGCAATAGTGCTTTCAGTCAAAGAGCCTTTGCAGTCACAGCAGTGATACTCTGTCCCTCAGAACATCAGAGAACTTACAAAATACAATCTTTTCAAAAACCATCTAAAAAAACTGACTCATAACACATCAGTCATGTCAGCATTAGTTGAAAGTCTTCCATTAAGAAACCATACTGCCATTTGTGTCTGTGCTGTGTGTGTGTGTGTGTGTATACATGGCAATATATATATATATATATATTTAGTGTAATTGTTTAGGTAGAACATTTTCAGATCCGACCAGGGACAACAGATGAAAAATTGCCTGCTTTTTAATGTACACTATCCCTGTCAAATAAATAAATAAATATAGTAAAATAAATAAAAACATGTGTTATACACTCCCTGTATTTTTTATTTCATGCAATTTAATGATATTCTAACTTGTTTTACACGCAGAGAATTATTTGAAAAGGTTGCATGCCAGATCTCATCTTCAAAAAAAGACCAACTTCTCTGTCCTCCTGCACCCCCGTTGCCATTGTTTGACAACTGATTTATTGAGTGGTTAAAATAATGCAGTGGAAAACGGACACGCCTGCAAAGCCAATAAGTCAGAACATAGTGAGCAGCAAAGTGCAGGTGTTCTACAAATACAAAGACACACAGCAAAAGACAAAGCCTGCTTTATAAACATGTAAATTATGCTAACAGCCAAAAGCACATGCAAAGGGCAAATGCTGCAAGTATAATAAAAGGTGCAAACTAATTCAATGTGTTTGTGTCTTTTTCTTTTAGCATTATTTATGTGTACACAGCAGTTTTTGTATTTACAGTGTGTTAGTAATTTGCTAATCTCTATTTTTATAGGACTGCAGCCTTTTTTATTCTAGCATTTTTTTCCTTTGCATGTGCTCTGTCTTTCTGTGTTGCTATTTTTTATTTGTTAGTCTAAATTTTGTTAGCTAAACTCACGTTTGTCTTTGCAGTACTTTTTAATTTTTCTTGATGTCTAGATGTTGCTCTTACATATTTAATAAACCCAATTTATTCAAATATACAGCACATCATGGTTTGATGTCAGTTTTATAATTAAGCCTAAAACTATTCAAATCCCTGGTAGGTTTAGATTTGTTCTTTTTTTTTACATTCACTGATAATGTTTTTGTTTTGTTTTGATAGAAATGTATAGGGCTGGGTATCAATAAAAATTTTCGATAAAAGTACCAATAACGATACCTTCACTTTAATAACATAAATGTTTAGTTCGATATTGGTTTCTGAACGATACTTTTTTTTGATAACGGCTTCATAATGTAAATTCTAACAAAAAGAAAATTACATTACATAATAAAGTAAAAATCTTGACTTTTATTTTTAATTCAGATTTTACAATTCTAAGCACTTTTCTTACATAAAAATTATTTTCAGTCCAAAAAAAAAAATGTGCGAAGCATTTCGGCTTGTACCATAAAAGAGCTGAAGTTCAGTACCCTACCCTTGAAATGTATACTGTAAGATTAAAATCATAAAATATGTTAAAACACTGTAGAAATACTTTAGTTTTCACTTTAAGATGGTGGTGCTGGTGCCAGCAGTAACTCTAGCCTCTTTATGATTGTGTTTTTTTCGTGTTTTGATCTAAAATTTAGAGACTTGAAGCCTAATTAGTAGAGAAGGGCCAAATTTCTGGAACTGTGACAAAACCCTAGATTTTTCAACTCCCAATGAATCAGAGAGGCTCCAAAATCGACCCTCTGCTCATATTGCAGACCACTGACTTCCTCATGACAGGCCCCAGGTGGTGAGAACTGGAACATTTACATCTGCTCTGCTGATCCAAAACTATGGCAACCAACAGGGTTGCGTCCTTAACCCTGCACTCTCTGTACAATTAACTGCTCTAAGATACACATTGTTAACATGCCTGTGAAGTTTCCAAACAACACCACTGATGAGATCCGCTTCACAGAAGAGGTCTGCAATCTGAACTAAGGATGTTCTGGGAAAAACCTTACATTATCTTGTAAGGAGGAGTTCTTAGTGGATTATAGACATCTAGGAAGAGAGAGGATAGTGTGATATGTGTGCTCCACAGCAGGGGGAAAAAAAGGACTTAGTCCAAGTGGGCCTCACAGTACAGGGAATTGTGGGATTCCATCCAGATCTGGACTTCATTTCTGCTGCACAAATTAAGGAAAGACAAGCAACCAAGGGAACATTCTTGCATTTTGTTACACTTCAACCAGTAAGATTGTTCAGCTGCATACAAAAATAGCTTAGTTCTCACACACACACAAAGATAATCACACATTGGCACATCCCAGTTCAGACTGGACTGGCACTACCTGTACTCTATGAGCCTTTTATATCTTCTAAAACTCTTTCTAGTTTTCTTCTAAGAGTTTCTCATTTATTTTTTTCTTCTAGCATTTAATAGTTTTTATTCAAGATTGTAAATCTTTCTTAATAATCAGGGAAAATTCTTGATTGGCTTTATAGAAATACTTTTAAATGCTGAGCAGCTTTTTCGACTGGTATCTTTCCACCTTTATTTTGACCATATCTTCAATTGATGAGAAAGTCTTTGAGGTTGAAAGGAATCCTGGCCATCACCTTAATCAAATTTTTAGTTTCTTACATAAAATCTCTTACACAAATTCTCTGACAAGAATTACTTCCAGTCAGAAGCATAGCAGAAATATGTAGTGAAATGTAAAGTATTGCTTAATAACTGAAACCCCCAGGGTTATGGAATTTTTTTACACCCTGCAGCTGGTTACAAACTGAAACCTGGTAAAAATTGAATGTTTTGCCTTTAATTTAAATAATTTTTCACTGACAAATAGTCAGGCACAATATGATTAAAACTGCAAAACTGTGACTGAAAACAAAACAAAAAAAAAATGGCAAAGGGTCATGTGAATGTGCTGCATATAAGTTTACTCAAACTATTCTGAACACTGAACTTTTTTGTACTCATCTTGTTTAATTTTACAGGTTCAATTTCAGAGGTTTCCGTTGGATGCAGGCAATGATATTTGCCATTGAAGAGATTAACAACAGCAGTGATTTATTGCCAAACATCACCCTGGGCTACAGGATCTTTGATACATGCAACACTGTGTCCAAAGCCTTGGAGGCAACCCTCAGTTTTGTGGCTCAAAACAAGATTGATTCCCTAAATTTAGATGAGTTTTGCAACTGCACTGATCATATCCCATCAACCATTGCAGTTGTTGGGGCTGCTGGATCTGCGGTCTCCACAGCAGTTGCAAACCTCCTAGGACTCTTTTATATCCCACAGGTCAGTATCTGATTGGTAGATTTTTATCTGTATTTATTGGACAAAAATATCCTTGAGGTTAAATGAAAGAAAATCAAAGCAGAATTAATGAATCAGACATGGCCTAGAAAATATAAACCTAACTAACAGTTAAAATCCTTCTGGTTTCAGATCAGCTATGCCTCTTCCAGTCGACTCCTGAGCAACAAGAACCAGTATAAATCTTTCATGAGAACCATTCCAACAGATGAATACCAGGCCACAGCCATGGCAGACATCATAGAGCACTTCCAGTGGAACTGGGTGATTGCTGTTGCTTCGGATGATGACTACGGGCGGCCAGGAATTGAAAAGTTTGAAAAGGAAATAGAAGAGAGGGACATTTGCATTCACCTGAATGAACTTATTTCACAGTACTTTGAATATCACGAGATCCGAGCTCTGGCGGACAGGATTGAAAACTCCACAGCTAAAGTAATTGTTGTTTTTGCTGGCGGCCCAGACATTGAGCCTTTAATCAAAGAGATGGTCAGGAGAAACATCACAGATCGCACCTGGCTAGCCAGTGAAGCATGGGCAAGCTCCTCTCTTATTGCTAAACCCGAATATCTAGATGTTGTAGGAGGAACAATTGGTTTTGCTTTAAGAGCTGGACATATACCTGGCTTTAGAGAGTTCTTACAGCGGGTCCAGCCTAAGAAAGACAGTCATAATGAATTTGTCCGAGAATTTTGGGAGGAAACCTTTAACTGTTACCTGGAAGACAGTCCAAGAGTTCAGGAAAGTGAGAATGGCAGCACTAGTTTCAGGCCTTTGTGCACTGGTGAGGAAGATATCACAAGTGTTGAGACCCCATATTTGGACTACACACACCTTCGCATTTCCTATAATGCATATGTAGCAGTTTATTCCATTGCGCATGCCTTACAGGACATATTTACTTGCACACCTGGACATGGACTTTTTGCCAACAATTCATGTGCAGACATAAAGAAAATTGAAGCATGGCAGGTAAAATTTCTTTCTGAATGAAAACAGTTTAACAAAAACTCTCTGGAGAAGCTTGAGTGATTCATCCCTGTCGGTCTTTGTTATAGGTATTGAAGCAGCTCAGACATCTGAACTACACAAACAGCATGGGTGAAAAAATCCACTTTGATGAAAATGCAGACCTGGTAGCAAACTATACCATTATAAACTGGCAGAGATCTGCTGAAGATGGCTCAGTAATGTTCGAGGAAGTTGGATACTACAATATCCATGCGAAGAAAGGAGCCAAACTGTCAATTGACAAAACAAGGATTCTTTGGAATGGATACAGCTTAGAGGTGAGTCCATTTCAGATTCAGATACTGTACTGTACTCTAACATCTTACTGTGGACTTTGCCAGGGTTGGTTCTTGTTTCCAAGCCTTTTTGTGGTATTCATTTTTTCCCCAGCTTTTTATTGTCATTACACTGTTATAAGTACAGAGCAATGAAACAAACTCTGCATTTCGCCCATCCCCTTGGGGAGCAGTGGGATGCCATTGTGCAGCACCCGGAAGGCAGTCTAGGGTTAAGGGTCTTGCTCAGGGACCCAGAGTTGCAGTCTGTGGGAGTGGGGCTTGAACTCGGAGCCTCAGGATTCCAAGCTCTATGCCCTAACCACTAGGCCCCCACTCCCGCACGGACATGAACATTCATGGACAGGATTTCAAGGTGTTGCCATTTTGCAGCTTTGCTTTGTACAAATGATGTGGTTCTGTCGACTTCTTTAAGTTATGAGCTAAATGTGGATGCTGTTCTGATCTGCTGTGGTGAAGAAAGACCTTAATCAAAGAACAAATACTTTGATTTATTGAGATGTCTATTCTGACCCTTGGTTATAAGATATAGATCATGATCAGTGAGATTCATTATACATGTAACTGAACTAAGCTTTACTACATGGTTTCCTTTTTTCACGAATAGATAAACACTTTATTTGTGCATTTTTTCAAGGCGTGATGGTTTTATATGCCAGATGACTATTAGAATTGTCAGAAATTAGATCAAAGTTATCTAAATCTGTTTTGTTTAAAATAAATAATCAGTTTAGGAGAAAATATATTCTTCAGAATACAGAGAAGAACATTTGAAAAGGTACATGAGAATAGACAATCTGCACCAAATTTGTCTGACCTTGAGAGAATAGAGTTCTTGGAGTTAACAAATTAAGCTGCTTAAAATTTAGGGAGCAGTGGTTTTACTTAGCCAGAAGATCAGCCACAAAAACTGCTTCAACCAAAAACAAGGATCACTTCTATTCTACTACAACATAACTGAAATAAACATATTTGATTCAAATGTATTGAATGCACCTCTGTCAACCTGAGTTTATTTTGACAGTAAACAGTGTGAGCTCTCTATTCTATGCAGTAAACATGAATGCGTCCACTCAGCAAATGTGGGGGGCAACATACAAAAACAAACAATATCAAATGTGTTGAGGGTGATTCGGCAGATTTGTTTTTTATTGATTTATCATGCATTCTCTTTTATCCTCACATTTGGCAGCTGTCAATTTGACTCACACATCATAAAACACCATGGCTCTGGATATTTTCCAAAATCTGTATAGTTTCTGGAAAAAAATGGTATCTAATGAAAATATGCTGGTGAAGATTCTCAGTCATCCAGGTCATAGTCATTCCATAGTCATTCCAAAGACTTTGTTTTGAAGTTTGAAGACGTTTCGCTTCCCATCCAGGAATCTTTTTCTATTAAAAATTCCAGAAATAGCTTTGAGTTTGAGGCTTATAGAGTGGACAAAAGAGACATCCTTCTTTTGGCTTAGAAAACCTGCAAATTGAAAAGGACAAATAGGTCCGCCCCTGAGGGATGGGCAGTTGCTTGTGTTCTTTGTTAGTCTGCAAAACCCGATGCTGGTCTATGACTCTGAAAGGAGTCATAGACTTCTATAAAGCCTTGAACTCTGTGCTATTTCTGACATTTTGAATTAAAAAGGTTTCCAGGATGAGAAGCGAAACGTCCTCAAACTTGGAAACGAAGTCCAGTGGATTGTTTTTTTTAAAGTTTTTTGGAATATCTAATGAAAAAACTGTAACACTAAAGCTTGCTGCATTGGTGGGGCTAGTTTTAGGAGATCCTGACCTTTACTAATTGTGCGCGGTTTTCCTGAGATTTTCAGCATTCATTTCCCTTTGCTCTCCGTCTTTAACTAAAAATTCTAGATTTAAAAAACAGGCACCAAACAAAGTCAGACAGATATGGAATAAGCAACGTAAGCATTTCTGTTTTATAAAGTATTTTTCATAATTTCAGTTTGGTTCTCCAAAAGGATATGAAGAAGGAGATCCCTGTTTATTTATTTCACTCTTTGATAACATCACTTTCAAACTGAGTAGATTGTGTACAATGAGATTAGGAGAGCAAAATAAACATTATCAGAAAAACTTTAGGAAGAAAGAAAGAAATCTATTTTAAAATATTTCATACTGTTCATATTAAACTGTTATTGGATATAAGAACCAACAGGTTTATTTAATAACATTTGAGATCATTTGCTTTTATTACTTCCTCGCTCACAAATATTAACAAAGGCCTAGTCATTGTGGATGAGGAAGTGTGTCCAAAGATTTGACTTCAGCCACACTGCTGCTATTAATTATCTTTCCTTTTCATACTTGTTGATTTTTTACAGGTGCCATTCTCAAACTGCAGTGAGGACTGTGAGCCTGGCACAAGAAAGGGAATCATTGACAGCATGCCTACATGCTGCTTTGAATGCACTGAGTGTTCAGACGGAGAGTTCAGTAATCACAGAGGTAGGCCTACATTAAAACAACGCCCATGATAGTAATCTTTTTAACTATTATAGGTTTTAACTAAGTTTGTGTTATTTTGTTTACACAGATGCCAGTGTCTGCACCAAATGCCCAAACAATTCCTGGTCCAATGGGAACCATACTTTCTGTTTCCTGAAAGAAATAGAGTATCTCTCTTGGACAGAACCTTTTGGGATAGCTTTAGCTATATGTGCTGTGGTTGGCATCATCCTGACAGCCTTTGTGATGGGAGTCTTTATCAGATTTCGCAATACCCCAATAGTAAAGGCCACCAACCGTGAACTATCCTACGTTCTCCTGTTTTCACTTATCTGCTGCTTCTCCAGCTCTTTAGTTTTCATCGGTGAACCACAGGATTGGACATGTCGCTTACGGCAACCAGCCTTCGGGATTAGCTTTGTTCTCTGCATCTCCTGCATTCTTGTGAAAACTAACCGAGTGCTTTTGGTATTTGAGGCAAAAATCCCCACAAGTCTCCATCGTAAATGGTGGGGACTGAATCTACAGTTTCTTTTGGTGTTTTTGTGCACATTTGTCCAAGTGATGATTTGCGTTGTCTGGCTTTACAATGCCCCCCCTTCGAGCTACAGGAACCATGACATTGATGAAATTATTTTCATCACATGCAATGAAGGTTCAGTGATGGCTCTAGGGTTTCTCATTGGCTACACATGTCTCTTGGCAGCCATTTGTTTCTTTTTTGCATTTAAATCCAGGAAACTTCCAGAAAACTTTACAGAAGCCAAGTTCATTACCTTTAGCATGCTCATATTCTTCATCGTTTGGATCTCTTTTATCCCTGCCTACTTTAGTACCTACGGCAAATTTGTGTCTGCCGTGGAGGTTATTGCTATTCTAGCATCCAGCTTTGGGCTGCTGGCTTGCATTTTCTTTAACAAGGTGTACATCATTCTCTTCAAACCATCCAGGAACACTATAGAGGAGGTACGATGCAGCACTGCGGCACATGCCTTTAAGGTGGCTGCCAAAGCCACGCTAAAACAAAGCACGGCTTCAAGGAAGAAGTCGGGCAGCATTGGTGGATCATCTGCCTCAACTCCATCCTCATCCATCAGTCTGAAGACCAACGGAAATGACTGTGACACAACTTCAGGGAAACATAGACCGAGGGTGAGCTTTGGCAGTGGAACAGTTACTCTGTCCTTGAGTTTTGAAGAGTCAAGAAGGAGTTCTCTTATGTAAAGGAGATGGGCATGCATTACCTGACCCCATGACAATTTCCACAATCAGACAATCAGTTATCAACACAAATGCTAACACTGATTCTTTCTGTAAGTTATAGGTTCCAAGATGACTGTTTGTTTCTTAAGTGTACACTACAGTAGGCCCAAGAGTCAGTCCCTACGTCTGCTGATATGATCAGAATAATGCATAAATATGGCAGAAGTCAGTTCTTAACTAATCCATAAAGTCTAAATATTGACTGGTGTAAAACCCGGAGCTGTAAAAGTGAGTTAGACACTGAACAAAAAGATCTCAGTGATGACTGATTAAAGATACCACCTCTAAGATTCTTGTAGAACCACTTACAAATCATTATCAGGGTAATGCACAATTTACAGATCGTCAAACAAAAAAATTAGCTTTGGGATTTTATAAAAATACAAAAAAACTTTTATCTAAATTTCTTTACTTTTTGACAAATAAAATAAAATGTACTTAATGCAGATAAACCTAAAGTTTCCGTTAAATTCAACCTTTATGACTGTTAGTCTCCAGCTTAAGTCTGCTATACTATGTCTTTTAAGAAATTGTTGAATATTTTGTATAAATAAATCCATTAAATCCCATCTTTAAGCTTCCTGTTTATTTAACTTGTTGTGTTGAGATATCTGTAAGAAGACTCCAAGACTTGAAGGGAAAACTTCTTTGTGTCAGGGTTCTGCCTCTGTTTGGGGAAAATAAAATTCTGGTTTGGAATTTCTATTACCGTATTTTCACGACTATAAGGCGCACTTAAACGTCTTTTTTTTCCCTCAAAATGTGCGGTGCGCCCTATGGTGCGGTGCGCCCTATGTGTGTTGTAACTGCGACTTTTGAGACCACCTCATTGAGGAGATGATGAAAGAGTGGCTGAATGTAAGGAGACCAGGTGTTTTTTTTCCACCCCTCACCATCGCTGTTAATATGTAACTCCATGCGTGCCCATCTCACAGCTGATGTGAAAAACATGGGGAAACAAATTAACGCTGTGCTCGCTGTTCAACTGCTCGACATCGGTGTGAACCGGACCCAGCAGGTGCAGCAGAAGCAGCGAGTTTACATGCAAAGTCAATTGTTGACGCGCATATAGGTGCAGCAAAAGGTCCTGCAGCGCATTTTGGTGCAGCACGTCGGGAGCGTTTAAGCATCTGACGCACCGCCAACGTGCTGCTGCTGCTCAGATGGAAAAATTGAAGTTTTGCTGCTGGACGCGCCGCATCAACCAATCAGAGAAGCTGATCTGGGAGCTGACAGCGAGACACAGCGCTCTGATGATATTAACGCAAATGAAAAGGCTGGATGAATGAGGAGATGATGAAAGGCAGGTGTATGTGAGGAGACCAGGTGCTTTTTTCCACGCATCACCATCGCTGCGTGCCCATTTCACAGCCGATGTGAAAAAAAGATGAATCAAATGAACGCTGTGCTCACCGTTATCCCAGGGGGTCTGACAAAGGAGCTTCCCCCGCTCGACATCGGTGTGACGCGCCCGTTCAAAGTAAGGCTGCGAGCGACGTGGGAGCGATGGATGACAGACTGAGACCACAGTTTCATGATAAATGGAAGGCAGCGCCGTGCAAGTTACGCCACCGTTTGCGGATGGATTGTAGATGGACTAACGTGTCTGCTGGCTCTGTTGTTCAAGCTTTCGCAAAAGCCGGCATTATTTCTGAGGAGCTGCGCTGCACGGAAAGTGACTCTGACAGCGAAGAAGGGGAAACTGGCATGTCTGATTTAGCGCAGCTGTTTTATTCAGAGGAATGCTGAGGATAACAGAGGATGATGACTTTGATGGGTTTGATTAATACTTTGTAATAAATACATGAATAAAGCACAATCATACTCAGGTTTGCTTCCGCTCTATTTTTCTACCTGAAAACTTAATTCAACAGCAGCCTGTGGGCGCGTCTCCTCCTCTTCAGCGCGGCGGCTGGCAGGTGTTTTTTCATCTAAATAATCTAAATCTTGCAGCTATATTTGCTGTGATCAGTGGGAATAAAGTAGTTTTAATATGTTTTTAAGTGAGAAAGGCCACCTGAAAACTTAATAATTGCAGTCAGTTCATCCAGATTATCTATTTCTGTCGGAGGCGCTCAGACCCCCACATACCAGCGGTGCGCCGACAGGAGAAATCCTTTCGTTCACCGCGGCTGCTGGCAGGTGTTTTTCATCTAAATAATTTTAGCTGCAGGCACCAGGATACCGGTAATAAAAGCGAACATATTCCGTCGGCAGGTTTCAGGATTTTAAGTTAATTTAGGAGTGATCACAGCGCTGTGTCATCTGCGATGTGTCTGTCTCACGGCCAGCTGCCAGGTTTGATTAATACTTTGTAATAAATACATGAATAAAGCACAGTCATACTCAGTTTTGCCCCCGCTGTATTTTTAAATACGCAGTAGAGGTATTTAAAGGTAGTAGAGGACATGTACCTGTATATAAAAAACGCGCCCTATAGTCCGGTGCGCCTTATGTGTGTGTTAAATACAGAAATGGGACACATAACTGAGACTGCGCCTTTTAGTCCGGTGCGCCTTATGGTCGTGAAAATACGGTATTTTAAATTACTCTGATGAAGTCATATAGTAATAAGTAAATAGAGTACACCCTGTGTATAACTTAATCTCTGTATAAAAACATTTGATATGTGAACTACTCAGCGGTTTATAAGAGAACACTAATAAACAAATCAAGGAACAAAAAATGCAGATCAGGAACAAGGTAGTGAAAAAAGCTTAGGCAGGTTTAGTTTATAAAAGAATATTCCATGCTCTGAATGTCCTACATTAGTCTTTTAGATGGACAGAGTTTGGCCTACAGGAGAGTAAGGTAGCCAAAAATTGTACCCAGGAGTAATATTTCACTGAAATAGAATTAAAAATTTAAAATCTATAAATGTTGGATGTGTGTGTGTGTGCATGGATGTATTTCTCTGTGCGTCTCTGTGTTGCCCTGCAACAGACTGTAACCTGTTCAGGATGTACTGTCTCCAGCGCCAGGATAGGCACAGGCTCGACCGTGAACCTGATGGAACAAGCAGGAGAAGATGGAGGGATGGATGGGTGAAGCCACATCCATATCAAAATCGAATGGAAGAGACACACATTTCCAAATCTTAATTTTCAACGACATATAACTGTTGTCAATACTTACAGTTGGCAATTTTTACATGTCAGAACAATGGAAAACTATACTTCCATTGAAATATCTACTGTTTATATTCACCTTGTCTAATATGGCACAACATTTTCAGCTGAAATACATTAATAAAATACAAGATCTGAGGGTTATGGAAGAGAGGCAGATAGAGAAAGATTAAGAAAAAAATACTATTAAGAAAGCTTAGTTTTGCACAACCCAGAGGAAACACTTGGGGGGAAGACGACAATTCAATTATATGAGGCCAAAATGCAAACTTTATGGCATACAATAAATTGCATTGTGAGGAGGTAAACTAACAGTACTCTGGGAATACCATTCAAACAGCATCACTGCCTATGGTGACCTTTCTTTAACACAGACAGGAGAACTAACCATTCTTGATAGTAAAATTAGTGAATTGTTCAAAGTTTCTTTGGAAGCTTCTCACCTTTCAACCCAACAATGAACTGAAACACACAAGGACAAATGTTCCATTGTTCTTCCACTCTACAGTTTTGCTCTTCTTCATGTTGGTCTACAATAAAAACCTCCAATAAAGTACAATAAAGTTTGTGGTAGTAGGGTGACAAAATGTGGAAAAATGTAGGAGGCATGAATACAGCGTGCCTTGTTTTGGTGTGGATCTTTCGAGGAGTGTTCTCGGTCTTCTTCTTGGTAATCACAAGTTGCTGTTAAGAGCAAACATTGAGGGTCAGCTTCACATGTTAATGTCATTTTTCCAGTAAGCAAACAGCCATACCTTTGGAACAGAAGGAAAGAAGAAACAGATTTCCCATCATCAAATTTTAAAGTCTTTAACATTTTCCTGAAGCAATATTAAGGCCATATGAGACTCAGAAGGTAGAATGAATAAAACACCAAATGACTTTTTTTCTGAGAGATTAGTGGGTAATATAATAGAAACAGATTTCAGAATGTTAGCATTTTAAATGTAATAATCTAATCAACATACATAAAAAATGCCAATGGTATAATTTAACCCTTCAGGTATGTCCAAGACTGAGCATCCAGATGTTATTGGGACATCTCTGTGTAAAAGCCTTTTTCAGGATTTGTGTCTGTGTTGTTGTTAGTTTCTTTTTTTTTATATAAATACAAGACAAGAAAACAAACAACTTTTTGTCTTCTAAAACTTTTAAGTCTTGTCTGCTTATCCAGGCAAGGATTGCACTATTCTTTTTTTTTGTTTTGTTTTTACATGAGAGCAATCATGAAAAAATACTATCGGAGTAATGTTGGCACTATTGTGGTTCAAGGCTATGCTCTGGCATAGTTTCTTCCGATATAAGAAAAAATATTTTGGCCATAGAGGTATAAGTGGTATTGTTAAAGACTGAATGTTAAACAGTGGAAGACCATCTGAGATAGTGTTTATATATTTTCTTTGCAGTATAGATAAAACAGGATAAATCAACAAAAAGAAAAGATCAAGCTTTGTTCTTGATAGAGATAGACCGATACATGTTTTTTTAAGGCCCATGCCACTTATTTTTACATTAGTCCTACCATTAATATATGCTGCTGATATTTTTTGGCGCTGAATCTTGAATTAAAAAAGGCATTTTTTTTTTTTTGTTAAAAACGGTCTAAATTTAAACAAAAAATATAAGCTTTAAAAAAAATAAAAAAGCAGCAATGAATAGCAACTGGAGGGAATGCAAATACAAGTGCTTCACGGAGGACTACAAGCCACTGAAAAAGCTAAACACCCACTTCAAAATTAACATTTAAATCGTACAATTAGAAATCCAATTTATAGAATGTCTTTTAATGGCCCATTTTAAATTGAATTCTTAAAGAGGAACAGTAAATTGTATTTATTAATCCACAATTAAATACTGCAATTTATTATGTATTCTCAAAGCCTATTTCTAAATGGATATAAAAAAAACAATTCATCTTATAAATACCTAATCACACAGTCAAAAGGGTTGTTCCTTTATGACTTCCTTTTATTTTTTCATCTTGCTTCTCTTTTTATTTTACCCTCTAGATTTACCTTTGGCATTACCCTTCTGGTTCCTTAGCTGCTTAACAGGCATAATTTAAAAATATATAAGATTGCTCATACTGTCCTTGCATGCGGAAGCTGACGATTTTGCCAAGTATTCAATTTTTTTGGTTGAAACATGAACCGGAAGTGCACAAAGAAACGTAAAACACGATCATCCAGAGAGTAACTTCATAAAAATAATTATTTTTCTGTTTAGAAATTACACTTTGCAATTTACGAAATACAATTTCTATGTGCACCTGCATAAGGTTGTAACATGAATCTGACAAAGAAAAATACAACGTAACTCTTGGATAATTACTAAAACCTGATAATTTTCTAAGTAAGAAAAAGGCGTTAATTTTATTTTGAAAGATCGCCGAGCGGAAGTAGTTGTTTTAAGTGATGTGG